TGGGCCATGAGGATGAAGGTGATGTTGAGAATCCACAAATCATGGGACGTGATCAATCCGGGAACCACTGAAAATGCAGAAAAGAATGATTTGTCAATGGGTTTAATGTATCATTCAATTTCGTAGAGCTTAATCATTCAAACTGGTGATCAAGATACGACGAAGTAGTTTTGGGATGCGATCAAGGCAAGGCATGTTGGAGCTGTACGTGTACAAGAAGCCTGTTTGCAAACTCTAATGAACGATTTCGACAGACCCAAGATGATGGAGAGTGAATCGATCGATGATTATGTTGGAAACTTTTCTGGAATAGCATCAAAGGCAGCGACACGAGGAGAAACAATAACATAACCCAAACTTGTAAAGAAATTCCTTTAAACTATGCCATGATCCAATTTTATACATATTGTTGCATCACTCGAACAGGTTCTAAACCTTAATGTCGTGAGATATAAAGATATGGAAGGAAGACTGAAGGCTTACGAAGAACGAGTGAAAGATGATGACTCTGGAGAAAGCAGTTAATCGAAACTACTGTTTACAAATAACGATCAGCAAAAACGAAAAACTCAAGGCAACAATAAAGGACGGAGAAAGGGAATGAACGGCAAAGGGAAAGGGTAATCAAAACGAGAAATCTTCTAACGTCAAAGAATCATCCAGTTCATCTAATAATAAAATACGAAAGGATAAATAGAAGAAAGACCGTTCCAAAATCATATGTTACCGATGTGATAAGCCAGGACACTTTGCATCACAGTGTCCTAAACGAATCGAACAACTACAAGAGGAAAATTGAAGAGAAAACATGTCATTCATTTGAAGAGGATGAAGAACACGTATCAGTTTCAAGATCAACTGCAAAAAAAAAAAAAATCAAGGGTGTGAGGCCGATTTATGAAGGGGATAAATTTAGGGTTAGAAAAAAGCAATTAGATATAAACTTGGAGAAATTAGGTTAAAAGTCAATACCATGATTATAGGGATTATTTTTGAAAGTTATTAATCATATTACTAAATTGCCCTTATTTATTTATTTAATTATTTAATTTTGATTGGTCCACATTTATGCATACAATAACACAATAATTACTTTAAATACCTGAACCTAGCTCTCTCTCTCTCTCTCTCTCTCTTTATATATATATATATATATATATATATATATATATATATATATATATATATATATTCCGGTTTTTTGGACCGGTCGGACCGGTTCGATGTCCGATCCGGTTTTCAAAACATTGGTTTTTCTAAACCAACACCACTACATGACCTTAAAAATGTCTAGTCTAGACCAACCATGGTTCAAAAACCCAAAAACAAACGCAAAAAGGTAAATGAAAAATATAGATATGCATATATTATATATATATATATATATATATATATATATATATATATATATATATATATATATATATATATTTGAATATATACATATACATATTCAAAAAGATGAAAAACATACGCCAATAGATCTTTTGCCATCTTATTGAGCGATTGTCATAGATGCGACCCTCATACCTTTGGGAGTGTACGGTGGTGTTAGTTTTGAAAAAAATTGGCAGAAAAAACAGTTTGTAAGTTCTAACACACCTTTGAATTCCCAGAAGAGCTTTCCTCCATATATATATATATATATATATATTATATATATATATATATATATATATATATATATATATATAGGAGTTAATTTGAGACGAACATAATTTTATGAGACCGTAAGACCAAATGTATTTAGTGAAATATTCTAATATTCTGTTGTTCGTAAAAAGAGAATATGCAATATATTCTAACATTATATGTTTTGGAATATTTCAATGTAAAATATATTAAAATTATTGTTTTAAAATATTAGAATAATACACATATTTAATTTTTTATAAATACTAGAATATTAGAATATTTCACTAAAAAAAACAAAATTAGGTCTTATCATATGAACCTAACCTTTTATATATATATATATATATATATATATATATATATATATATATATATATAAGGGATGAAGTCGTGAACGAGCTTGAGTTTTGGTAAGGGCGGTACCTCCAGTTTACGATATCCATTGACGGAGCTTGTATAGGGCCCCTATTTTTTTTATATAAATAGTCCATAACTATTAAAAAGTTTACATATTAGGTCTAAAACTATAAAATTTGATTTTGACCCCTCCTCCTGTTCTTCAATTTTTATACATATTCTATTTTCAGCCCCCAAATCGTCGATGTTGTTCGTCGGCGGGTTGAGTGGTTTGGAGGAGTAAAGACACTGATTGAGTTGGTGAACCTGTGAGAATCGGATGTTTTCTTTTTCTTGTGGGATGGGAATCTTTACGTCATTTTTCATTATTATTATTATTATTTGTTTTTTTATAAACAATATCAAAATATTTATATAAACAAGGGAAAATGACGCAACGGTCCTACTATGTATTTTGACTTTACCCTTTCAGTCCTTAAAAATTTTTTCGTGCCTTTTAAGGGAACAAACCGTTTTTGTTAGGTCGATTTGGTCACTTTTGACAAAATGAAGGGGTAACCCGGTTACCCCTTTGCCACATAGACATTGGCTTTTTACTTTTGGTTCATATGCATCTCTCACACATATACATATAAAAATCCACCGTCCCTTCCCTTTCTCTCTCTCTCTCTCTCTCTCTCTATCTATCTATCTCTCTCTCTCTCTCTAGACATTTAACACGATATGATCTTCTTCAGGGTTCTTTAAGTTGTTCCACCAATATCTTTATTTTCACACACTAAAATACACACACGCATAGAAGAACTCCAACTAATAATCGTCTTGTGTGAGTTTAATGTTCTTTGGGTTCTTTTAATTATAAGTATGTGCCTGTGTGTGTTTTTCATTTTTGTTGTGTATGTGTGTTTATAGTTTTCATTAGTAATCAACAGCCCTTGAAGTTCAAATCAGACGAAACTATAGACATTTATCTAAATCGTTTTTTCCCTCTCTCGATCTATATTCTCCAACGATTCTTTTCTCATCCACTATCTCTAATTATTAAGAAACTTCAACGATTTGAAGGTTTTGCGGAGAGAGTAGAAGAAGTTTTCGGCAAGGAGACGGTACCAACTTTTGCAGACTAGGCGGAGCTTGTGGTGGTCGATTCTTGGGATGCAGATTGAACAGGCGATGACGAGGTCATTGGGCAGTCCAGGCAGGAGAGGAGATTGGTTGTGGGTTCTGTCTCGTTGGGTGGATTGATGATTTGATTTCCGACTGTTTTCAGGTAATGATCAATGGGAGTACAGAGAAACCTCATGAACAGAAAAAACCCTCAATTATGTCGCAAATGCCATGTGGGTTTCTAATCTGAAGTCCAATCTTCCTTCCCTCCGTTGGTTTTCGTCATTGCAATCGCCGAAGCATCCTCCTTTTGATTACCAGCCGGTTCCATACAAAGGTCCATTAGCCGATGAAGTATTCGAAAAGTGAAAGAAGTACCTTGGCCCTTCTCTCTTCCATTACTACCAGAATCTAGTAATATTCTATCCGTCTCATTGCTTTTGATCATTTCTACCATTATTATATGTACATATACACATGCAAACCTTCGTGCTTGACACTTTGTATCTAAAAAATCCCCAAGAACGATATTTTGTTCATAAGGTTTCTCTGTCTCTTTGGCTAGTATCTTTTTGCTCTGTCTCGTTGGCTTGACACTATGTTCATGAGGTTTCTCTGTCTCGTTGGCTGGTATCATTTTGCTCCGGCGAATGTTGTCTACTCTACATAACCTATTGTATCCACCTGTAAAAAACATCATCGTATCCAATGGGAACAGAAGGGCATAACCTTCATGAACAAGAAAAGGAGATATAAATTTAGGATATTTACTAAATTAATTAAAGAAAAGCCATGGGCACCACCGTTATTCCTTTCCTTGTGTTTGAGTGTGAGAGAGAGAGAGAGGGAGGTGGATTTAATTTATTTTTTAATTAACTAAAATTCACTTGTGTTTATTAACCGGGTAAAAAAAAGTTAAGGGGACTAGATGAACAGATCACTAACCAATTTTTTCCCTTAAAAGGCACGAAAAAAACTTTAGGGACTGAAAAGGTAAAATCGAAATACATAATAGGGTCGTTGCGTCATTTTCCCTATAAACAATACCAAAACATTTATCATTTATCACCATATTACACTCAATTCTCTGAACTTTCCACTTCACTTCATTTATTTAGTTACCTTTAATGGATTCCTGAGGCAAAGCTAAACAAGTGGGTTCTAGGCAAAGACGTAAATCCACTCAAGACGGTTTAACTCAAGATATTCCATTTTCTTATCCAGCATTTCAAAATCTAAAGTATGAGCAATACCAAAACTACCAACAAAACCAAAATTATCCCCCACAATATTACCCGGTGCAACAATCTTACAACACATTTAGGTTTTTAAAGGAAAATCCTAGTTACAATCCATATAATTAGTTTTCTCAAAGGGTTCCAGAAACCCAATCACAATATTCTCATCCCGAAATTTTCCAATTCTATGATGCTCAAAACGTAGAATCTGACAGTTCTAGTGACGAACTGGCTCCTAAAAGAAACTAAGAAGAGGACGAGTTGCAACCCGTTGCTGAGAAAAAACGCAACTATATAAAGCGCCAGAAGTCAAAGAAATGGGTGAAACGTGGAGAGTTGGCTTTTGCTAGGTTATATATTCATGTTTCAAAAGATAAACAATGCAGAAATCAACAATGGTCGGATGCATTAAGGGAGAGGGTTCTAGAGCATTTTAATGCTCAACTACGAGGTTCAGATCGGTCACGACACCAAGTAAACTCAAAATGGAAAGATCTGCAAAAATGTAACGAATTCAACAACATCTACAATCGTAGGATGAACAGTATGGCTAGCAGAAGATCTAAGACTGATGTTTTAAAAGATACATAAAGCAAGTATCAAAGGATTGGTACTTATAAAGCTTTTCCTCGTGAAAAAGCCTATGATTAGTTGAAAAACCACATGAAATGGGTGTTGGTTAAAAATGTTGGTGAAGACTCTCCGCCTCCTTCTTCAAAACGAACCAAACCATCTTCATCCAACGCCTACACAACATCTTATGATGCACAATATCCTCTCGGATTCCCCCCAAAACAACAATCGTTTAATGTTGAAAACCCACCGCCTCAGAGAAAAAGAAAAGGAAAGAAAGCAAAATCGACATTGTCAACACAAAATGAAATATTTGATCTCGTCAACGAAATTGCCGGCATCAACACTGCAACCAAAAAAGAGGTGGAACAGAGACAACGGTATCGGAAACAAAAATTACATATTTTCCAAGATAATGAAGAAGGGAAAGCAAAAATGTTGGAGCGGGAGATAGAGAACCACGGTATGCAGTATTTTCTCCAACTGCATGATCATTTGACTGGAGGTATTTGTGCATGGTGCTTGAAAGGAAACGAAAAATTACAAGTAAATATGGTTAGGAATTGTAGAACCCGTGAAATAGTCAGAGAATCTTTTTCTTTTTCGTTTTCTTTTTCAAAAGATTCTCTATATGTAAATTTTTATCTCTCTCTCTCTCTCTCTCTCTCTCTATATATATATATATATATATATATATATATATATATATATATATATATATATATATATATATGTGTGTGTCCATAATCACTCTCTATAAATACCATTTTATCTCTATCTTTTCTCTCTATAAAAAACGAATCCAAAACATTCGAAAAATAGTAATAAAAGGTAATCATGATAGTTCATCATCTGACGATGAACTTATCAACAATAATTTGGCACATGCATTATCTCACTACACAACATCTGCTTCAAAATAATTCTAGTTTAAGCAACATTTAAAGGAGAAAGACAAATCAAAGAGATCGTTTAGAGGTTGAACGACTACTGATCCAATATTACTTTGCAGATGATTCAACATATGCTCACCCGTAATTATGCAAAAGGTTTCGTATGAGCAAAGGCTTGTTTATGCGACTTGTTGGTGACTTGGAGATGAATTATGCATATTTTCAAGCAACATGTGATCCAACAAATCAATGAAGTTTCAGTGCACTACAAAAATGTATCTCAACAATATGTCAATTAGCGAAGGGTTATAACCTAAACTCATTAGATGTGTATCTAAATATGTCAGAAAGAACTTCTCGTGAATCTCTGGAAAACTTTTGTCATGGTGTTATCCAAATATATAAGGTTGGATATTTACGTCGTCCAACATCCACTGACCATCAACTTTTGTATGAAACACATGTAGCTAGACATGGATTCCTTGGAATGCTTGGTAGCATTGACTTCACACACTGGAATTGGAGGAATTGTGCAACGGAATTGAGAGGCCAATACACGAGGGGTGACCATCATCATCCAGCAATGATACTAGAAGCGGTTGCGTCACAATATTTATGATTTTGGCATGCATATATGGTGTAGCCGGTTCAAACACTGATTTGAACGTCTGTTAGATGCCATTTTATGCATAGTTTAGGGTAGTTTTTATTAGCATTTAGCATCATATTTTGTAAATTTGCACGTCATTTGTTTAAATAATGTTCAGGTCATGTCTTTTATCAGAATTTCCGTACTGCTAACATTTTTTGTGCCAATTTCAAATAGTTTGAGTGAAGCAGTACTTTGGGAGCAGCTGGATGCATATTTGGAGCCTAAATAGAGTTGGAACTGAAGGATGATGTTGAGGAAAATAGCATCTGAATAAAAAAACTCAAAAACTATGATCTCATATAGCATACCTACGATCGTATAAATGGCTCAAAGTCCCGAAAACGTCGAAAATAGCATCCTGCATCATTTAGAGGCAAATCTGGAAAAAATTGGAAAACCTGTGATCGCATATAACCAACCTGTGATCGCATTTTTCGGTTTCTTTCTCCGGAAGTTTCCGTCTGGCATATAAATACGACCCTCGTTATATTATTCGGGGGAGACGATTCCAGACGACGAAAACCACTTCTGAAGGCGATTTCTGATACCTTTCAGCGACTTTTGGAGATCTGAAGACTGCAAATCATCTCAGACATTTGGTTTATCTAGATTTATCAGTAAATGTTTCTTTTATCTAGTTTAGTTTCGTTTTAAGCCATCTCTGGCTAAAGCTTAGTTTTCAGTTCTGCATAGATTATTACTTTTCATGTGATTAGTTTTCAGGTCTGGTTTTTTGTTTTGTGTTTCTACCTAGATTTTTCCGTTTTTAGCTTAACAAATGTTTGATTTTTAATTTTTGTTAGTCTGATCACCTAGCTAGGGTTTTATCATTCAAGTTAATCAGTTAATAGAATCCGTAATTGTTCTTGTTAACTGGTAAAAAGTAACAAGTATCAAATTGCTTCCGTTTTGGGATTTAACTCTGATATAAACTGTAAAAATCATACATACGCTTCCGAGCTTGTGAGAAGTATTGGGTATTGCTGAGAATTTTACACAAAGCTTAATGTAATTTTCAGATTTAATTAAGAGCTTGTTTAATTGAACAGTAAAAAGTTAGGGTGAATTCAAAGAGCTTGTTTTGGTTAACTAATTTAGGTAAAAGAGATTATATTAGAGCTTGTTAGTTGTTCTCAGTACCAGCTTAGATAGAACGCATTCTGAATAACAAGATCTGAACTGATTGCATGATTAGGAAAGTCGCAGCAGAACTGAAATCTTTTTTATTATTGATTTTTGTTTAATTTAATCACTGCAATTTTAGTTTTTAGTTTAATTTAAAATCCCCCTCTTATATTTTATGTCTCTTGACTAGAATGTGTCTGATGCAAAAAAGCATTGACCATTAGGTTGTGTCCTTGAGGCTTCGACCCTGGTTCCATGTGTTATATTTTTAGTGCAACCAGCTGTGAAATTTTATTTGTTTAACTCGAGTGCGACAACCGGTTTAACGAATTGGCGTCGTTGCCGGGGATACGGTGTTTTCTAATAGTTTTATGCCTAAAAATTTTCATTCAGGTACACCTCTAGCTTTTGATCCAGAAATCGAAAGAACTGCAAGGAAACTGAAGAAAGAAGCAGCAAAGAGAAAACAATCAGATGGTTCATCATCATCTTCAGTACCTCCAGAAATCATCATACCACAAGGCACTCCCTTGTGGAACGAACCAGATCCGTTTTTTTTTTCGAAAGTACCCCCATCTTCACCTTGAGATAGTCCTTATAAAACATATTCCCCACCATCTTCCGTTAAATATGAAACCACATATTCTTCATAATCCAAATCTGAAGAATCAAACATGAGTGGTGACGAAGCAAAAAATACTCTCAGAGAGTGGGCCACTCAAGAAGTTAATCAGCATCCCCTCTGTATTACTTTTCCAAAAGCCCAGAGAACTTTGAGTTGAAATCTGGGTTGATTCATCTTCTTCCCACGTTCAGAGGTCTAGAAAGCGAAGACCCACATAAATTCCTTAAGGAATTTCATGTGGTTTGTTCAGGAATGAAGTTGCATGTTGTTACTGAAGATCAGATAAAGTTAATGGTATTCCCCTTTTCAGTTCAAGATTCAGCAAGGGAATGGTTGTATGATATAACATCCATAAAAATCATGAAAAATTTAAACTTTTACTACCAACCCAAATCATAAATTGTTAACAACATAGTTTTCAAAACATGTTTAATATCAGAGTTTCCCAAAATCGTAAGTCAAAACACGAGGATGTGTACGGTCATGCCTTCGCCTTCCCGCGATCATCTGAAGTACCTGAAACATAACCCAAAATTGTAAGCCCAAAGCTTAGTAAGATCCCCCAAAGTACCAACACATAAATAGATAACAAATACAATTAACAACATACTATGGGTCCAATCAACCATCAGGTTGGATTACCCCAGGCCCTTCAACCATCGGGTTGGAATGCCAACATACTATGGGTCCAATCAACCATCGAGTTGGAATACCCCAAGCCCCTCAACCATCGGGTTGGAATGCCAATACACTATGGGTCCAATCATCCTCGCGATGAAATACCCTCGGGCCCACTTAACGATCGGGTTGGAATGCCCCCGGTCTGTTGGCTTACGCACAAAGCAATAAAGCCTCAACCATCAATCAAATATATGCACATATATATAACAGATAAATGTACAGTCAACCAACAGACGAACAGACAAATCTACAGATCACTAAGCATAACAACATCCTATATACCTGGATACTGATCTAATATATCACTACAGTACAATAGCATGCATAACAGGATATCGAATCCAAAGGGCCGACATCAGTGCCTTCGACCCGTAAGTACAGTGAGGAAAACTCACCTCGCAATATAAACAGAAGTTGATAAGGTCCCGACTCCGAATCTCAGCTCTCTAACCGACACCTAAACCCACAAATTGACCAATTCCATCAAAATCCCCAAATAACCCAAAATAGCCTCAAGGTCAAACTTGGTCAAAGTCAACTGGTCAAACCCACTAAGTCAACTGAGTCAACCAAGTTGATTCAACCCAACCGAGTCAACTCATTAGGGCTGACCCAGCGCGAGTACGCGGGACGTACTCCGAAGGTATGCATAACATACACGAGGCTTCGCAGCCTGACCACCATCGGGGTGGTTGACCGACTACGAGGAGAGTACTTAGAGCACACGAGACGTACCCTCGCAAACTTCAAACTCCATTATGTGTTTAATGGGTTAAGCACTTAAGTCCATATTCCAAATCCAAGGTCAAATACACTCTAGAGTCATAAAGTTTCCAACTTTATGACTTTACAAGTCCAATAAGTGCTTAACTCAAGGTCTTAACCCATTAAGACCTTTCACAAGATGCATGGAGCAATTCTAACCAATGGGACTTCATTTTTATGGCTAACGACCCCTCCTAGAGTCTGAAAGGACAAATCAAAACGTCCAGAACATGCCATGCTCAAGATGAGACTTTTGGGACCAAAAAGTAACATAAAAACACCCATAAACAAGATCTAGTAAACTAGCCATCAAGGTAGGAACTTTATACCTTGAAATGATGGAGAATGGTGCAAAACTTCCAGATCCAAGATGCTTCTTCCCTCCAAGATGAGCTTGGTTCTTTCCTTCTTCTTCTAAGCACACAAACACACACTTTAATGCTTGAAATTACTTCACAAGGTGGTTCTATGGTTTTAGTCACGAAAGAGAGGGTGGAGGTTGTTAAGGTGAAGGGAAATGAGGCCATAAGTATGCTTAAATACCAGCCAAACCCTAAAAATTAGTGTTTCCTCATTTAGCAAGTACGCCCCGCGTACATACATGTATGCCCAACGTACTAGGGTGCGCCCTAGTACGCTGAACGTACACACTAGTACGCATGGCGTACTCCTCCCTGCCAGAATTACGAAAATGCCACTAGGGCTCCAATGCACAATTTCTTGGACTTAGGAACCAAAATGCAATATAATAAAATTAAAGGGTTGAAATTAGAAGTACCTTAACATCGGGATGTTCAATATGAACTCCCATCCGGTTCAATTGCCACTTGGACAGAACTTGCGAAGCTGTTTTTAGAGAAGTATCTTCCAGAAACGCGAATTTCCAGTCTCAGAAGAGAAATCCTTTGTATCAAACAAGAAAAAAGAGAAGCTTTACACACTTACTGTAAAAAGATTTAAAAAGCTTATGGTTTGGTGCCCACAACATGGGTTCAACGATTATCAGCTTTACAACTACTTCTGTGAAGGACTAACACCCATGGAGAGGCGTCTGATAAATACTTCCAGTGGTGGTCCTTCGGAGATATGACGCCAACAGAAATTCGGGACCTGATCGAGAAGCTGGCAAGAGAGTCAAAACATTCCGGAAATGAAGACGAGTGGTATCTAGATCAACCAAGGGGTGTCAAAGAAGTCAGCAATGCTCATCTGGAGTCTCATATTTCTAAACTGAAAAAGGTTGTTCTGCTCCTGAAAAATGAAAAAATAGCCGCAAAGAAACCATGTGGTATCCGTT